TTCACATTCTACTCTTAGAAAGATTCACCTGTACCCCTATAAGATAAACCTCAGAAGTGATCCCTCCAAACCCCCTCCCTCCACCCATTCCCTCCTCCCTTCTCCCTTCCCCCTCCCCATATTCAAAAGTACCCAATGTACACACCCCTATTATGAAACTAATTTATACCTTTTATAGGATGAATTATTTTTAAGGCAGCATCTTCACTAGCCCAAGATAGAACTCGTCAGGCCTTTTTCTCCCACACACTATGGTTGTCCCACATCCTTATTCTTGAGTAAGTTAAGCAAGATTCTTGAGCCTTCTTTTCTGAATGATCTGACTTAATAGTTTTCAACTGAAAGGGGGGTAGCCTGATAAAATCAAGTATTGTTTAGCTGAGATTCAAATTTAACTGAGTGTCCTACATTTTTATTTCTAACCTGGCAACCGTAACTGGTGACTGTAAGCATAACATACAGGGTCTGACAACTAAGTTCATAAACTCATTCTAGAAAAAGTGCTACATACCTCATTACAGAATATCACTATGGTCATCTTCAAAGTACTCCCTTTGGGAAGCTATGCACCAATTCCAGTCTCTAGTCCACCCTTCAGTGCGATTTTGGAACTCTTTTTATACAACGGCCATCAGAGCTGTTATAGTTCCCTTAATGTCCTGAATGTCATCAAAATGTTTTCCTTTCAATATTTCCTTTATCTTCAGATAAAGAAAAAAGTCCTGGGGGGACAGATCAAGTGAGTAGGGAGAGTGTTCCAATACAGTCATTATTTACTAGCTGAAAACTCCCTAACAGATAGTGCTTTGTGATCTGATACATTGTCTCTCACAGACAGTGCTGTGTGTAATGGTGCATTGTTGTGATGCAAGAGCCATGGGTTGTTGGCCAAGATTTTCAGTTAAGATTTTCCTGTTTCTCTATCAATGCTTACTTGGCCTTCTATGCTTCTCATAGTCAACTGATGATTCTGTTGCACAATTTCCTGAATTTTTGCAATATTCTTGTCAGTTCTGCTTGTTATTAGCTGCCCTGACCTCTCTTCATCGGTAATGCTTTCTCTCCTCTCAGAAAGACATGTAATCCATTTTTACACTGTCATTTTCTTCATGGCATTATACCCATAGACTTGGACTAACATCTCCCTGATTTTACTTCCACTCTTGACAAGTTTAACAAGAAGCTTCCATATGTTTGTTCATTGCTCTAATTCAAGCCTCAACATTCTTGCAGTAGCATACAAAAACAGGCAACAATATTGAACATCACTCAGCAAGACACTACATACATCAACACAACCCCAATTGTGAGACCCTGATATACCAAGGTTATAAAACTTCACTGAGCTATTTGTATAGTGCTGCAAGTATAAACACATGGTGGCAAGTTCACAAACTTAATTGTCAGACATTGTATGGAGTTACAAAATACAGATGCACAGGCTCCATCTAGATCTACATCTACTAAATCTGAATTTCTGAGGACAGTTTTGATACTTGATTATGTTTCCAAAAATTTGAACTAGCTCTTGTGTGAACACCATTTATCAAGTACCTCCTGTGTGTCAGGCAGGCACTGTGCTGGGTGCCAGGGATATGACAGTGAACAAATATACCTTGGCTGCCTCTGTCCTTCTGGTGCTTTCAGTCTGGGTCAGGGAGAATGGGGGAGGGTAAAGAGATGGAGTTTAATCAGATCGTTACATAAATTCGGACCTGCCCAGGGGCTACCAGGTGTACAGAATGTGAGGATACGAACCCTGTCATGAATGGTATGGCATCAGATCAGAGGGCCCAAGGGGGGCTTCCCTGCTATGTGGTCTCCTAGGGATGTCGTACAAGCAGGAGTTGGTCAGTCCCAGCCATCTGAGTGCTCAGAGACCTCCTACCTGAGAAACTGGAAGGATGTGTGCCCCAGAAGGGAAATACCTAAGATAAGAACTTTCTTCTCCTGTCTCATCGAGGCAGCTCACTGTTCTGACCTCCCTGTTTCTAGGCATATAATCCCTGTTCACTCTACTCACCCAAACTCACCATATCTGAGTGGCTTTCAACACCCCTCTTTTCCTTACTTATCACATGAATCAAACTCCATGTCTGTGACTTCTCTCTCTCCAATGTCTCTTGAATTTTCTTCTCCTCTCTGTCCTATGGCCACCACGACTCATTAGGTTGTCATGACTCACTATCACATGATCATGTTAATGGGTCATCCTCCTTCTACTCCTTTTTGTTTGTTTGTTTGAGACAGAGTCTCACTCTGTCACCCTGGGTAGAGTATGGTGGCATCAACCTAACTCACAGGAACCTCAAACTCCTGGCTCAAATGATTCTCCTGCCTCAACCTCCCGAGTAGCTTGGACTACAGGCTCCTGCTGCTACACCTGGCTAATTTTTCTATTTACAAGAGATATGGGGTCTCACTCTTGCTCAGGCTGGTCTTGAACTCCTGAGCTCCAGCAATCCACCCACCTCAGCCCTCCAGAGTGCTAGGATTACAGGTATGAGCCATCACACCTGGCCCTCCTTCTACTTCTTTTAAAAGTTCATCCTAAGTC